CTGTGGAAGAGTAGAGAGATAGCTATGCCAGTAGAGAGAAAGTGGAGAGAGTGGAGAGATTGTGTGTGAGAGTGGAGAGATGGTGTGGGAGAGGGGATAGATAGCGGAGAGATAGTGTGGAAGAGTGGAGAGATAGTGTAGGAGAGTGGAGAGATAGTGTGGGATAGTGGAGAGATAGTGGAGAGAATGGAGAGATGGTGTGTCAGAGTGGAGAGATAGTGTGGGCGAGTGGAGAGATTTTGGAGAGATAGTGTGGGAGAGTGGAGAGATGGTGTGGGACAGTGGAGAGAGAGTGTGGGAGAGTGGATATATAGTGTGGCAGAATGGAGACATAGTGTGGGAGAGTGGAGAGAGTGAATGAGAGTGGAGAGAGAGTGTGCGAGAGTGGAGAGATAGTGGAGAGATTGTGTGGGAAAGTGAAGAGAGTGTGGGAGAGTGGAGTGATAGTGTCAGAGAGTGGAGGGATTGTGTGGGCGAGTGGAGAGATATTGGAGAGATAGTGTGGGAGAATAGAGAGATAGTTTGGAAGAGTGGAGAGATAGTGGAGAGTGTGGAGAGAAAGTTTTAGAGAATCTCCACTATCTCTCCATGCTGCGACACTATCTCTCCACTCTCCCACACTATCGCTCCACTCTCCCACACTATCTCTCCACTTTCTCACACTATCTCTCTACTCTCCCACACTATCTCTCCACTCTCCCATACTATCTCTTCACTATCTCTCCACTCTGCCACGCTCTCTTTCCACTCTCCCACACTATTTTTGCCACACTAGCTCTCCACTCGCTCTGCTACACTATCTCTCCACTCTCCCACACTATCTCTGCCACACTCCCACACTATCTCCCCACACTATCTCTCCACTCTTCCATACTATCTCTCCACTCTCCCACACCATCTCTCCACTCTGCCGCACTATCTCTCCACTCTCCCACACTATCTCTCCACACTGCCACACTATCTCTCCCACACTATCTCTCCACTCTCCCACACAATCTCTCCACTCTCCCACACTATTTCTATCACACTATCTCTCCATTCTCCCACACTATCTCTCCACTCTCCCACACTATCTCTCAACTCTCCCACACAATCTCTCCACTCTCCCACACTATTTTTGTCATTCTATCTCTCCATTCTCCCACACTATCTCTCCACTCTCCCACACACTATCCTTGTCACACTTGTTGGTGCAACCCTATGGCTTGCACTCGGCTTGTCGTCCTTGTTTGTGTGTGTGCATGCATGGCATGGAATGAATTGTGAGTCTATGTCATTGCTATCTAGTGCCTGTTTGTGTGTTTGAATGGTGTATCACAATGTGGTTTGTGTCGGTCGAGACATTAGCGAGTTTTTACAACTCGCATGTCAAGTCGTTGTTTGCTTTTCGCATGTGTTTTTTCTATTTTGTCGAGTGTGAACTGTCCATCGCGTCGCAGGTGTGTGCAGCCAGCCCCCATCAACTCAAGAGGAATCTAGCTTGCAGAACCAAGACCAAGAGCTCAAGTTTTCAAGCCCAAGGGACACGGATGAATATTAAATAGTGAAAAATAGTAACGCTACTTCGTGTAGTGTTACATTTCACTTGGTGTAGCCCTTTGGAGGGTTTGTTTCGAGACTCTTCATGGTTGGGGACTCTTTTGTTGTGTACCACCAACCTGGACCTCGGCTCTTGGGGTATGTAGAGGCTGGGAACCATCTCCATCTCGAAATCTTCTTGCTAAGTTTGTACTCCAAAGACAATAGTGGCTGCTATACCTCCTGCCTGTCAAACCGCCATAGCGTCGTCAAATTCTTATGGAATTTCATTATTCAACTTGCTGCTGATAGACGACAGCAACACGCTCCAGATCCAACTTACAGATCACCGTTTCAGTCAGCGAGCAGATCGTTATCAGTATTTGAAGCCGTCCGACGGAAATCCGACTATGCTCTCTATCTCTCAATTTAGGCACATCTGAGCCTATTGTGATTATAACACACTATCTCTGTCACACTATCTCTCCATTCTCCCACACTATCTCTCCACTCTACCACACTATCTCTCCACTCTCCCACACTATCTCTCCACTCTCCCACACTATCTCTCCACTCTCTTACACTATCTCTGCACTCTGTCACACCATCTCTCCACTCTCCCACACTATCTCTCCCACACTATCTCTCCACTATCTCTCTACTGTGCCACATTATCTCTCCCACACTATCTCTCCACGCTCCCACACTAGCATTTGTCGGTCTCTATCGCAGATAGGGCGATGACAAAGGAGGTAAGGGTGAGGTCACCTGGGTGCTGACTAAGGAAGTGGTCGCAGGCAGTGGCTAAGCGGTCCGGGAGGCGTGTGGCAATGAGGTAAAGAGTAGCGCAAAGCGGAGGAGGGAAGGCAGTGAGCTGGGCCTCAGTGCTAGCGGCGTTGTAGCTAGCCTCAAGTGCTCGGAGGTGGCTAGGTCAGCGACAGTGGGGAAGGCCGCGAGATTAGGGAACAGCATTGGGAGGATCAGGCGGGTAGTGGAGGTAGAAGCGGGCGTGGAGTAGCGCACAACTACGACCTCTAAGAATTCCTTGGCGTTTGCTACAGCGGTAAAGCTGGGACGCTCAGACAGGAGGAGGGCATGACTAATGGCAAGCTGCGCTACGGCGGCGCGTGACTCCCAGTCAGCGCGAGCAAGAGCAGTAGCGGAAAAGGCCTCACGCTCAGCAGTGGTGGTGGCATCAGGGAGGGCAGCAGGCGCGGGAGGGCGGGGAAGCAAGCCATCGACATGAACAGCCAAGGAGTAACCGTCCTGGCGCTGACTTGTCACGTGACGGCGAAGGTCGACATGCCAGGCGTCGAAGTCGATTGATCGCCCCTCCGTGTCCAGGTGGAGCACAGCGTCCGCCATCACACGACCTCAGCTATACGGCGGCACGGCGGCACAGCTCCATGGCAGGGTGGCGCCACGGCGCCACAGTGGCACGGCAACACAGCGACTCGGGGACACTGCGGCACAGCGTCATAGCAGCACGGTGATACGGCTACTCGGCGGCACGGCGGCATGGCACAGCAGCACAGCGGCACCGCAGGATGTTGGGGCCGGCAGGAACGGGGGCCGGCTCGAACAGGGGCTGGAGCGGAAGGGGCGGTGAGCGAGCACGGGCCGGCTAGCTAGGGACGGCAAGTAAGGGGCGTAAGGGGCCAGCAGGGCGCAAAGGGCTCGCAGGGCGCGACGGGGCCAGCGGGACGCGAACGGGGCTAACGGGGCGCATGGGGCCAGTAAGACGCACGGGGCTAGCAGGGCGCACGGGGCCAGCAGGGCGCACGGGGCGAGCAGGGCGCAAATAGGGTCAGCGGGGCTCACAGGGCTAGGGGGCGCGATTGGGCCGGCAGGGCGTACGGGGCTAGCGGGGGTCGACAGGGCCAGCGGGGCGCGAACGGGGCCAGCAGGACGTACGGGGGCCAGCGGGGCGCACGGGGCTAGCGGGGCTCGACGGGGCCACCACGGCGCGATTAGGGCCAGCGGGTCGGACGGGACCAGCGGGGCTCGACGGGGCCAAAGGGGCGCGACGGGGCCAGCGGGGCGCATGGGACCAGCGGGGAGCACGGGGCTAGCGGGGCGCGTCAGGGCCAGCGGGGCTCGACGGGGCCAGCGGGGCGCAAACGGGGCCAGCGGGGGGTATGGGGCCAGCGGGGCGCACGGGCTAGCGGGGCTCGAACGGGGCCAGCGAGGCGGACGGGACCAGCGGGGAGCACGGGGCTAGCGGGGCGCTTAGGGGCCAGCAAGGAGCTAAGGGGCCAGCGAGGCGCTAAGGGGCGGCTAGGGACTAGGGGCGGAAGCGTAGGTGGGCGGGATCCTAGCCTAGCGTGATACCATCTTAACGTAGAAAGAAGTAACTAGAATGAGGTGGTACAAGGGGATATACCCTAAGGGTTTGTACCCTATATGAGCATGCACCTAGCTAGCCTATAACATATACAAATTATATGTTCACACGGAGAACACGCCTCAGTTCCCTGAAGTTGGCGTCGCCTGAGGATTCGCAAATGGGTCGCTGGCGACTTTCACTTGATCCTGCTGCCCACAAAATGCCTTTTCACTCTCTACTTCACTTTCACAATAAATTAAATGTGCCCTACTTCATGTTGAAATAGCTAGGTAGCTAGGGGAGCCATGGAAATGGCGTGAGGTTTAGGAAGGAGAAAAAATATCGAGAGAGAAGTGGTTGGACTAGAAGAGAGAGGGATACAAGAAGGGGGTTGTACCCTCTACAGTAGGATCCAGTAACACCTACCAAGCCTACAATTATATACAAAATATATAATTTAACACACCCCCTAGGCTTGGTAGTGGCAAGCCCACCACACACACAGCACACTAAGCCACACACCCCCTAAGCCTAGCACCCCCATACTCAGCAGCAGTGACGGCTACTCCAGCATGGTCAACCCCTCGGCATGTGAGGCGGGAACGTCGACAGCGAGGGCAGCGGCTGCAACGGCGGCAACGGCGGCAGCGTCGACAGCGGCGGTGGCGGCGGTGGCGGCGGCGTGCGGCAGCGTGGCCAGCGGCACCAGCTGCGGCGACGGCGGCTTCGACGACAGCTGCGGCGGCGGCGGAGCTCGCAGCACTTGGCGGCGTGGCCGGGCTCCGCGACGGTGGGACGGCCGGCGCGAGTCAGCCGTCGGCTGCGGCGAGGAAGAGGGGACGCAGGGGAAGGGGGCGGGGCTTCAGCAGCGGAGCCCGGGAGCATGCCGCCCCGTGTGGCGCGCTGGCTGCATGCGGGCGTGCTGGCCAGCGCTAAGTCCGGGCGCTGGCCGCTGCCGTCCGTACCGTCTGCGCGCTGGCACGTAGACGCCGCCACGGCAGCACGACATGGCCATGGCTGCGGCGCGGAAAGGACAGGAGGGAGGGAGGAGCGGAATTTGCGGAAGCGTGATGAGCAGGCGCAAGCAGACGGACCTGCTCTGAAACCATGTTGAAATAGCGAGGTAGCTAGGGGAGCCATGGAAATGGCGTGAGGTTTAGGAAGGAGAAAAAATATCGAGAGAAAAGAAGTGGTTGGACCAAGAAGGGGGGTTGTACCCTCTACAGTAGGATCCAGTAACACCTACCAAGCCTACAATCATATATATAATATAATTTACCGGTAACACACCTTTGCTATTTTAGACTGGGGCTTTAACGCTCAACATTATTATGATCTAACTTCCTCCTCAATACGAGCAACTATCAGGATTGGATGGCTTGACAAGCCCTTCGTGGATGAAGCTGATCTCCACGCAGCTGGTGCAGATTGCATTGAACTCCGCATGGAACATGCGGTATCCGAGATTCTCGAGCGCATAGATTGCAGGAAGAAGAATTGCTGGCTTGTTCAGGCTGACACACGCGGTTGGGAGAGGAAAGCGATGGGAATGAGTAACTGGGCGGGCCCTACACAGGAATCATGTGACAATGATGACAGCCTGCATGCCTTAGCAAGGGGTATGTCAGGATGTCTCCTGTGGGGATGACGTGTGTACAGCCATGGCAGGAAAGAGACAACAATATTAGAGGAAACGGAGAGAAGAGAGAGGAGGTGGGGTGGGGGGAAGAGGGGAGAGGGAGAGAGGAAGAGAGAGAGAGAGAGAGAGAGAGAGAGAGAGAGAGGGGGGGGGGGGGGGGGGGGGGGGGGGGGGGGGGGGGGGGGGGGTGGAACTCCAGTGCTTACTTGTGGAACTCCATGAGGATTTGGCCGAAGGGGAGCGAGCCTCCATGGATGGCGAGCTTGGCTGGTTGGGGGCCGCCGTACAGGGCGGTCATGTCCTTGATGACCTCCAGCTCGCACCCCTCGCAGTCGATCTTGAACACGTCCACGTACGAGTGGTTCATCAGCGCCAGCAGCCGCGCCAGCGTCGCAAAGAGCTTCGTGGGGTACTTGCTCTTGTACTTGTCCAGGCTGGCCTCCCCCGACAGCCCCACGGCGCGGAACTGCAGGAAGGGCAACGCGCGCATCTTGTACTCCACGAACGGGTTCAGGAACGGGTCGAACGTGAAGATGGCGGACGGGTGCGCCTGGGCGAACTGCTCCTCGAAGTCGTACAAGCCATGGCTGCCAATGCTGCCAGCGCCGAGGCACGTGGCGAAGCATGGAGGTCGGTGTTAGTGCGGTGGGGTATGAAGAAACAAGCGAATGGCACACGAGGGGAATGGAAGAAGGGGTGTAAAACGAAAGAACGAAAGACAGGACACGCGTGCAATGACGGAAGCACAGCGGCCAAGAGATGAGACGCGAGGGCGGCAGCAGAGCCGGACGATCGGCAGCAGAGCCGGACGATTGGCAGCAGAGCCGGACGACTGGCAGCAGAGCCGGACGATTGGCAGCAGAGCCGGACGATTGGCAGCAGAGCCGGACGACTGGCAGCAGAGCCGGACGATTGGCAGCAGAGCCGGACGATTGGCAGCAGAGCCGGACGATTGGCAGCAGAGCCGGACGATTGGCAGCAGAGCCGGACGATTGGCAGCAGAGCCGGACGACTGGCAGCAGAGCAGCCCCCAAGCGGTAAGGCAGTGGCAGCGCACCTGTAGACCGTGGTGTTGGGCTGGAGTACTCCGGGTATCAAGCACGTCCACTGCGGACCACGCGCAGGGGCGAGAGGGCGACACAAGGGAGGGCGTTGAGGAGAGGGGAGGGAGGGGGAGAGAGATGCTGGGGGAAAGAGCGCGGGGGCGAAGGAGAGGGGAAACGTAGAGATGGACTACGAGCGTTAACCTGGGAATTTTGCAATGTGGGCATCAAATTGGCGCCAGACGCTAGCTATGGGCCTTGAGGCCACGCTGAGTGGACCTTGCACTGCTCTTGGGAAGAGCACCGGATGACCTCGTCGGTGTGGTAAATGAGCGGTGCGACAGGCGAGAGCCAGTCAGCTTCCAAAAATACAACCCATTCCCGGCTCTCACCTTGCCGCCGTCGCCCCATTCGCCGACGCGCTCTTCGAAGGGGCACGGGTACATGGGGCTCACGATGAACAGCTCCGTGCCGCGCGTGTCGAGGTCCAGCGGCTGAAGCACTCCCCCAAGCTTCTCGCTCCGCCGCTTCACGTTCGCCTGGCGATCCCACAAGGCAGCCACAAGAACCGCGTCACACCGTCAGAACGCGTCCGTTCGTAAAACAGCTCTCAACGCGATTGAAGCTTCAGACCCCAACCGGCAGGATAGAGGGCTGACGTACCCAGTATGTAGCCTCCGCGTGGCACTGCGCCACGTCAACGTGGCACATACCACGAGCACTTAACGATGACCAATCGGCCCCCCACACGTGGCCTACATTGGCCCATTGCGGGTCGGAACGGCTGCGGGGAAAGAGCAGCGCGACGAAGACGAGGGCGACGAGCGCGATGCTACCGAGTGCACGAGGCGAAAGCACGGAAACGCGGGACTCAACAATGGCGTACAACGAATGGGCTAAAGACGGCATCTTGGGTTGCTGCTGGTGTGTGTGAACGCAGACTGAGTGGAGGAGAGATACATCTGGGTGGTGGGCGTGGCAGCCATGACATGGCTGTGTCCCTCAGAAGGGCCAAAGTCCTATGTCGCGCGCGGTCTTTTCAAGAGAAGAGCCGTTTGGGTGTGTCAGAGTCAGACCGCCGAGCCTGCTGCTCTGGAAACACCCTCGCAAGACACGGTTGAGCCCACCGAGGCTAGCTGACTAACCGCGGACTAACCAGGCGAGAACCTCGGGAAGCGACGTGGTTCGGAAGGTTGTCGAAAGGCCCGGGACACGTTCGGTGAGACTCGCGATCTGTGGTGTGTTACAGTACAGTTTAATTGTTATGAATCATGCCTACTACAAGTATGGATTTAGCAATATATAAGCAAGCATCCCGACTAGGCGAGGACCTCGGAAAACTAGGATCGGAATCCCATGTGTCATCATTGCTAGTGCACGCTGCCCGGTGGGAGGAAGTCCATGTGTCGGCCAGTAGGCTCAAGGCAAACACGATGACTGCAGAACTTCCGACCGACTGGCCACTCCTTCCATCAGGCTTCTCTTATGGATGTTATGGCAAGCATGGTGCTGACTTTGTGCCTGTGTGTAAAAGAAACATGCTGGTTACAGCTGTCGAGTTCGCTGTAGACACGCATGCTATGTGAAGAAGTAGAGCTTGAGCAGCACCCCCAGGCCTGCCTGCAGCAGCACGGCGCCCAGCGTGACGGGGAACCACATCTCATGGCCGTCCGTGATCTGCGCGCGCAGGTTAAAGCCCAAGAACACGCACGAGATGGCCGTGGCGCCCAGCACTATCAGCCAGCGCAGCAGATTCAACGGCACCACCGAGATGAACTGAGGGGTGGGGGGGGGGGGGGGGGGGGGTGGGAGGTGAGGCATGGGGCACAGAGATGCACTGCAGGGCGGCGCGGGTCACGGATGCGGTGCGCTTGAGGGGGACTGATGAACCGCTAGAACAAGGTAACCAAGGTTTGGAACCTCCTTCCAGGAGCAGCAGAGGCATCATAGAATGGGTGCGGAAAGAACAGGTGACATCCAAACACATATGTGAGGGTGCATCCATGCCTTGGCACATGAGGACCATGGATGGGTCATGGCACTTGACACCCTTGGTGCATGCATGGCTGACTAGAGAAGCGCACGAGAGCCATGCACGTACTGAGATGGGGATGTAGACGGCCAGCGAGTAGCCGTACAGACACCACAGCTGAACCAACCCCGCCGACACCTGCACATGTGCAAACATCACGCCATGCACGCGCCATACAAACGTCATGTACAGGCAAGCAGGCAGGAACATTGAACGAAGGTTCAAAATTATGGCGTTTATTTTTTATTTTTTGCCTGTATAATACGATTACGTAATTTAGGGCCGCATAATACGAATATTACGGTTCAAAATCCCCTTATTTTGCGGCCGTTTTTTCTAAACCTAAGGTGTACATTCACAATGATGGGTTTTGTATCAGAATTTTGGGGGTTGTGGTACATGCGCACCCCGAGTAGTAGGAGGAGGTAGAGTATGCGGAGGAGTAGGGATTAGGGGGAAATAGGGGTCCCGGACGTCACACCTTTCTGTAGGTCGTGTTTGTAGGTGCCACGGTGCATAAAGAAGCACTCACTTGACGTTTGAGCTGCATAGGAGCCCATTCTCCCTTGGAAAAAAAATCACCTGCTCTATTTATATTACGCCGTTTTTTCCCCAAACCGTAAAAAACGGCCGTAATTTACGGACCGTAAGTTACGAAAACCGCAATCTTGAACCTTGCTGCTGACGATCAAAAGAGCAGCGTGCCAGGGCAGGGAGGCGCATTCCGCATTTAATGGAGGTCAGACGGGAAGAGCTACAGGCTTTTTGTATCTGCACAGGGCAGCTGGTTACCTGGAGGTAGCGCAGGGCAGGTGGTTACCTGGAGGTAGCGCAGGGCAGGTGGTTACCTGGAGGTAGCACAGGGCAGGTGGTTACCTGGAACAGCAGCAAGCACAGGGTACCTGGAGGTAGCGCAGGAGGAAGAAGAGGACGAGCGGCACGACAGCCACGTAGCCGTAGAAGATGGCGGCGGCCCATGAGACGACGTCAATGTTGTAGTGCCAGTGCTCGTCCGACCCCGACCCCGCCGCGTAGCTCAGGTAGCTCGCCAGGTTGCCCAGGGACGCCGACAGGAACACCAGCGTCGTGCAGATCCAGAACGGGCCGTAGCTGCAGGGGGAGGAGAGAGGGGGGCGGGCAAGCAGGGCAGTGCGTGGGGGTGTTGCTCTGTGAGGGATGAGCACTGGTTGATGTGTGCGCAGTGCGGTGTGAGAGGAGCAGCGGCATAGACGCTAGCAGTGCAGCAGATGGAGTGCCATGGCGGCCTCGCACCAGCGCCACCAGATGGCTTGGCATCGCTGCTGGCTTGGCATCGATGCTGGCTTGGCATCGCTGATGGCTTGGCATCGCTGCTGGCTTGGCATCGCTGCTGGCTTGGCATCGATGCTGGCTTGGCATCGCTGATGGCTTGGCATCGCTGCTGGCTTGGCATCGCTGCTGGCTTGGCATCGCTGCTGGCTTGGCATCGCTGCTGGCTTGGCATCACTGCTGGCTTGGCATCGCTGCTGGCTTGGCATCGCAGCTGGCTTGGCATCGCTGCTGGCTTGGCATCGCTGCTGGCTTGGCATCGCTGATGGCTTGGCATCGCTGCTGGCTTGGCATCGCTGATGGCTTTGCATCGCTGCTGGCTTTGCATCGCTGATGGCTTGGCATCGCTGATGGCTTGGCGTCGCTGCTGGCTTGGCATCGCTGCTGGCTTGGCATCGCTGCTGGCTTGGCATCGCTGATGGCTTTGCATCGCTGATGGCTTGGCATCGCTGCTGGCTTGGCATCGCTGCTGGCTTGGCATCGCTGCTGGCTTGGCATCGCTGCTGGCTTGGCATCGCTGATGGCTTTGCATCGCTGCTGGCTTTGCATCGCTGATGGCTTGGCATCGCTGCTGGCTTGGCGTCGCTGCTGGCTTGGCATCGCTGCTGGCTTGGCATCGCTGCTGGCTTGGCATCGCTGATGGCTTGGCATCGCTGCCCCGCATGAGTCGCAGCACGCTCTGACTGCCTTGGCGCCCCCTCACATGTCCGGGTTGAGCGCGGTCTTCTCGAGGAACGCGGAGCGCGGGAAGGGCATGAGGGCGTCCTTCACTCGCTCCGCCACGTCAGCCGTGTCCACGTCGAAGAAGGGGCGGTAGAACGCCACGCTGAACACTCCCCAGATGCCCGAGGGGGGGGAGGGGCGGACGGCCCTGGCGCACCAGCTGTTGAGGAAAAGGTGTCTGCCAGGCACATGGGGGGGGAAGGGGAGAGGAGGGGGGAGGGGGGAAAGGCGGTTGGGACGAAGTTGGAGAGGGTGGGGGATGCATGGTGGAGGTTGTTGAGGTTGAGGCATGGAGGCATGGAGGAATGGCATCAGCCGCACAAGGCGTCCCCCTACGCGTAACCCCCTTGTGTGCCCCTAAGCCGTGGCCGTGCATCACTCACCTCAGCCGTGGCCGTGCCTGCACTCACCTCAGCCGTGGCTGTGCCTGCACTCACCTCAGCCGTGGCTGTGCCTGCACTCACCTCAGCCGTGGCTGTGCCTGCACTCACCTCAGCCGTGGCTGTGCCTGCACTCACCTCAGCCGTGGCTGTGCCTGCACTCACCTCAGCCGTGGCTGTGCCTGCACTCACCTCAGCCGTGGCTGTGCCTGCACTCACCTCAGCCGTGGCTGTGCCTGCACTCACCTCAGCCGTGGCTGTGCCTGCACTCACCTCAGCCGTGGCTGTGCCTGCACTCACCTCAGCCGTGGCTGTGCCTGCACTCACCTCAGCCGTGGCTGTGCCTGCACTCACCTCAGCCGTGGCTGTGCCTGCACTCACCTCAGCCGTGGCTGTGCCTGCACTCACCTCAGCCGTGGCTGTGCCTGCACTCACCTCAGCCGTGGCTGTGCCTGCACTCACCTCAGCCGTGGCTGTGCCTGCACTCACCTCAGCCGTGGCTGTGCCTGCACTCACCTCAGCCGTGGCTGTGCCTGCACTCACCTCAGCCGTGGCTGTGCCTGCACTCACCTCAGCCGTGGCTGTGCCTGCACTCCCCTGCCTGCACTCACCTCAGCCGTGGCTGTGCCTGCACTCACCTCAGCCGCGGCTGTGCCTGCACTCACCTCAGCCGTGGCTGTGCCTGCACTCACCTCAGCCGTGGCTGTGCCTGCACTCACCTCAGCCGTGGCTGTGCCTGCACTCACCTCACCCGTGGCTGTGCCTGCACTCACCTCAGCCGTGGCTGTGCCTGCACTCACCTCAGCCGTGGCTGTGCCTGCACTCACCTCAGCCGTGGCTGTGCCTGCACTCACCTCAGCCGTGGCTGTGCCTGCACTCACCTCAGCCGTGGCTGTGCCTGCACTCACCTCAGCCGTGGCTGTGCCTGCACTCACCTCAGCCGTGGCTGTGCCTGCACTCACCTCAGCCGTGGCTGTGCCTGCACTCACCTCACCCGTGGCTGTGCCTGCACTCACCTCAGCCGTGGCTGTGCCTGCACTCACCTCAGCCGTGGCTGTGCCTGCACTCACCTCAGCCGCGGCTGTGCCTGCACTCACCTCAGCCGTGGCTGTGCCTGCACTCACCTCAGCCGTGGCTGTGCCTGCACTCACCTCAGCCGTGGCTGTGCCTGCACTCACCTCACCCGTGGCTGTGCCTGCACTCACCTCAGCCGTGGCTGTGCCTGCACTCACCTCAGCCGTGGCTGTGCCTGCACTCACCTCAGCCGTGGCTGTGCCTGCACTCACCTCAGCCGCGGCCCTGCACTCACCGGAGCCTCTGCTGCCTGCTGGCTCGGGAGTGTAGGGGAACTCTGCCAAGCATACAAGGGAGGGGGGAGGAGGGGGGGGGGGGGTGTGTGAGGGAGGAGAGGGGGAGGGAATGAGCGGAAAGGCGGACCGTGGGGGGGTACAGAAGCACGTTGTTGAGTCTCGGAGAAACTTTCGAGAAACCCATGTTTCTTCCACACTCCCCCTTTTTTTACAAGTGGCTCACACCAGGCAAACTAAGCTACCCCACTCTGGCTCGCCCGACTCCTTACTGGGATTCGAGCAACTCGAGTCCCTGGCTTGAAAGGACATACCGGGGTGCGTCAGAGGGACATCGGCTCCTTGGGCCACCTGAGGGCGATGGGGGCAAGGGCGAGGGGGGCGAAGCAGGGCAAGATGAGGATGGGCTAAACGGGAGCACGGCATGAGCGACGCACGAGCGACGCATGAGCGACGCACGAGCGACGCATGAGCGACGCACGAGCGAGGGGGCGGGAGTGGGTGTGACGGGTGGGGCGAACCCAATGGCAAACGCGGCCGCAGCAGCAGTAGACAGCAGGGAAGGGCGGCTGGGACTTGGCGTCAGGGAGGCTGGGACTTGGCGTCAGGGAGGCTGGGACTTGGCGTCAGGGAGGCTGGGACTGCGGGTGGTTGGGTGACTGGGAGGGGCAACGTGACGGGGAGCAGCAGGCCCATTGGGCGGCAAGGGGACGACCGCACAACTTGCGAAGCAGCAAGGCATCTGCCGCGGGCAAGGCATCTGCCGCGGGCAAGGCATCTGCCGCGGGGGCGGGGGCAAGGCATCTGCCGCGGGCAAGGCATCTGCCGCGGGCAAGGCATCTGCCGCGGGCAAGGCATCTGCCGCGGGCAAGGCATCTGCCGCGGGCAAGGCATCTGCCGCGGGCAAGGCATCTGCCGCGGGCAAGGCATCTGCCGCGGGCAAGGCATCTGCCGCGGGCAAGGCATCTGCCGCGGGCAAGGCATCTGCCGCGGGCAAGGCATCTGCCGCGGGCAAGGCATCTGCCGCGGGCAAGGCATCTGCCGCGGGCAAGGCATCTGCCGCGGGCAAGGCATCTGCCGCGGGCAAGGCATCTGCCGCGGGCAAGGCATCTGCCGCGGGCAAGGCATCTGCCGCGGGGCCAAGGCATCTGCCGCGGGCAAGGCATCTGCCGCGGGCAAGGCATCTGCCGCGGGCAAGGCATCTGCCGCGGGCAAGGCATCTGCCGGGCGGCATCTGCGGGCAAGGCATCTGCCGCGGGCAAGGCATCTGCCGCGGGCAAGGCATCTGCCGCGGGCAAGGCATCTGCCGCGGGCAAGGCATCTGCCGCGGGCAAGGCATCTGCCGCGGGCAAGGCATCTGCCGCGGGCAAGGCATCTGCCGCGGCAAGGCATCTGCCGCGGGCAAGGCATCTGCCGCGGGCAAGGCATCTGCCGCGGGCAAGGCATCTGCCGCGGCAAGGCATCTGCCGCGGGCAAGGCATCTGCCGCGGGCAAGGCATCTGCCGCGGGCAAGGCATCTGCCGCGGGCAAGGCATCTGCCGCGGGCAAGGCATCTGCCGCGGGCAAGGCATCTGCCGCGGGCAAGGCATCTGCCGCGGGCAAGGCATCTGCCGCGGGCAAGGCATCTGCGCGGGCAAGGCATCTGCCGCGGGCAAGGCATCTGCCGCGGGCAAGGCATCTGCCGCGGGCAAAGGCATCTGCCGCGGGCAAGGCATCTGCCGCGGGCAAGGCATCTGCCGCGGCAAGGCATCTGCCGCGGGCAAGGCATCTGCGCGGGCAAGGCATCTGCCGCGGGCAAGGCATCCATCTGCCGCGGGCAAGGCATCTGCCGCGGCAAGGCATCTGCGCGGCAAGGCATCTGCCGCGGGCAAGGCATCTGCCGCGGCAGGCATCTGCCGCGGCAAGGCATCTGCCGCGGGGCAAGGCATCTGCCGCGGGCAAGGCATCTGCCGCGGGCAAGGCATCTGCCGCGGGCAAGGCATCACGGCATCTCAGGGGCATACCGGCACGGCGCCGATGCGGCCGTACTGCCCCACGTTGTCCGACATGCCCGACATGATGCCGCCGCCGCTGCCGCGCGGGACGCCGAGCGCAACGCGCGCGCAGACGGATAAACCACGAGCAGCTGGCGGAAAGACAGACGAGTGCGACGATCGGCGGCGGGGAGGCGCGGAGGATGGCGTCGAGGCCGCGCGGATGGCGGCAGAGGCGGCGAGAAGCGAGTTACAGGCGAGAGCGAGAGATCCTCGACAGTCGGAAAGCGGCAAGATTCCGAATCAGGGATCTCAGTGCTGGTCTGGTTGTGCTCCGCTTGAAGTTCATAAACACCGAGATGAATCACAATACACGAAGCCTCTAGGGGTGCATCGTTATACAAAAAATGTGGCATCTCAACTAAATTTCAACACCATCCGTCAAACGATTACATGCATGTGCAATGATATCTATATCTGGATGAATGGCAATTTATACAGATTAGCAAACCAATGTTAGCCTATTTCGGGAATACATCATTGCGATGGTCTATTTTGTAGGTATACAGTAATGTGTTGATGCACGAAGGCACACACCTTCTCCCTCAACGGGCGCTCCTCAATGGGCCGCAACACGCCACCCTGCGATGCCATGGCGTGGCAGCAGTGCAAGCGAGCACAAAACACAGGAGTGCACATCATGATCACAGGGGGGATGCACTGACCCTAGGCGTGGCCACTCTGAGCGACTAATGGCACCCCAACTCGCGCTTTGACTGAGCCCCCTGGCACCTAGCGGCCCTCACCTGCTTGCAGCGCTGGCCCCTCTTCACCGCCTCCTTCCCCACCACCTCCCGTGTCAACCGCCCCCGCATGCGCTCCACCTCCCGCCCCGACAGCTGGCCAAGGGAGAGAAGGCGCAGGGGAGAGAGAGGGGAGAGATATGGGTGAAGAGTGGGGGCAGTGAAACGTGTCGCCCTTGAGACGGCTGATGCTGCAGCAGGAGCAGCAGCAGGTGCTATTGCAAACTGGGCACGTGAGCCTAGAGCAACAAGACCAGTAAGACATGGAGCAACAGCAACGGGGGGATGAGGGTGAGGGAGGAAGGGGGGAGAGAGAAAGAAGGCGAGTAGGGGGTGCGGAAGGGAGAGAAGTGTTTGGGTGGAGGGAGTTACCGTGGAGAGGAAGGGAGCCATGGCGTGCTGCACGATGCCACTCACCTGCACATGCAACAGGCACACACACATGGATTCCCAAGTCAGCACCGCATCACACGGCATATCTAACCATGAGGAAGCCCTGTCCCATCCTCCATCCCCACCATCTCCCATCTCCCATCCCCCATCTCCCCCATCTCCCATCTCCCATCTCCCATCCCCCATCTCCCATCTCCCATCTCCCATCCCCCACTCCCCCACCCCCCATGCTCCCCATCTCACCGCATCCTCGAACTCGCGGCACAGAGGCGTGGCCCACTGTCGACCCCCCACCATGCTGCCACCTATTGCCACCGATGGGGCTGCTGGGGCTGCTGCTGCTGGGGCTGCTGGGGCTGCTGGGGCTGGCGCCAAAAATGCCACTGGTGGGGCTGATGGGGAAGTGGTGCGCTGCTTTGCATCCAATGGTGTCGCCTTCTCCTGTCCACCTGCTGCTGCCTTCCCTCTTTCTCTACCCTCCTTGCCTTCTTCCTCTGCGCCTCTTCCGTCAACCCCTACCACCATTCCTTTTACTTCCTCAACCACTGCCTGCCCACCTGTTGCCGGCCCACCCACTGCGTGCGCACTGGCTACGGCATCTGCACCGTCACTCAAATCCATGTCCACATCCATCTCCATCTCCATCTCCATCTCCATTTCCCCATCCTCACCCACGCCCACTCCCATGCCCATACCCAATCCCATGCCCCCGCCCACACCCATGCCCGCGCCCACACCCATGCCCGCGCCCACACCCATGCCCGCGCCCACACCCATGCCTGCGCCCACACCCATGCCCGCGACTGTGTCCTCTGTGTCCATATCCACCTCCATGTCCTCCTCACCCCCCATCTCCCCACCCCGATCTCCCCACCCCCCATCTCCCCACCCACCATCCCCTCACCCCCCATCTCCCCACCCCCCATCCCCTCACCCCCCATCTCCCCACCCCCCATCTCCCCACCCCCCATCTCCCCACCCCCCAAGTGCAAAGCGCACTCACCAATCCCCCCAATGTGCACATCTGCAGCCAATGCAGCCTCTGCCACCCTCCCTCTCTCCATCCCTCCCCTCTCCCCTTCCCCATCCCCCCCCCCTGCTGCGCCCCACCTCCCTGCCCTGCCAGCCTCTGGCCCACAGAAGGGGGCGCTTGCAAGGGATGGGGCTGGGGGGGCGGAGGAGGGGGGGAGGGGGGAGGAGGAAGGGGGAGGAGGGGGTGGGGGAGGAGATGGTGGGGGAGAGGCAGGTGGGGGGGGAGGAGGGGGAGGGGAAGACGCGGGTGGGAAGCGGGCAAGGGATGCAGCAGGAGAGGGGGGGAGGCACGTGGGTGCGTGAGGCAGGGTGCTGGCCTGCAGAGAGGAAAGGGTGGTGGTGGAAGTTGCAGGGCAGGTGGCATCTGGTGCAGGGTGGAACGACGCTGGGGAAAGAGGCGGCAGGGGGTGAGAAGGAGGGGGGTGAGGAGACATGTGGAGGGAGGATGGTGGCTCAGGTGGTGCCACAGAGGGTGCCTGGTTGGGCGAGGCGTCCACATGAGGCGTGGGATGCTGTGTGGCATCTGCAGCGGTGCAGAGATCAGCCGCGCCGTGTGCTGCAGTGAGAGCGGGCTGTTCGCCCCAGGGGCTAGCGGGCACGGCCACGGTGCTCACGCTCCACACGGGCCGGCCTGCACGGCGCCATGAGAGCGGCAGAGAGGAGGTCAGGACCGAGGGCAAGGACGAGGCGAGGGAGGAGGGAATGGAAGAGGAGCAGGGTAGTGAGTGGGGGAAGCACGAGGAGCAGAGTGAGGCGGTGCCATGGGACAGAGGGAGGGAGGATCCTCGCCTGCACACTGGGTGGCCTCATGCTGCTGCTGCTGCTGCTCGTGATGATAATGATGCTCGTGATGTTCATGTTGCTGATACTCCAGTTGACACTGCACCTGCTGCTGCGACAGCGCGCACAGGGCGTTTGGGTGGGCACAAGAAGTGCCCCCAGCAAGGGCAGCAGGTGCCGCAGGAGACAGACGGGGGAAATGAGGGGGAAAGGAAGAGGCAGGGGGGAGAGGCGGGGAGGAGAGGGATGGCGAGGGGGTGCGTGCAGTGGGCGGGTTCCACATGCCAGTTGCAGGTGAAGCGCGGGGCGCCAGAGGCCCGGGAAAGCCATGAAGGCGCATCTCTGTGCTGCCCTCGGCCCGTGTGCTCCGTGTGCTCCGTGTGCTCCGTGTGCTCCGTGTGCTCCGTGTGCTCCGTGTGCTGCTGCCACGCCTGCACCTGCATGTGCTGCTGCTGTGCCTCCTGCCCCTGCCCCTGCCCCTGCCCCTGCCACTGTGCTGCACACCCTCTTGCTGCCGCTTCCTCTGCTGCCGATGCCGCTGCTGCTGCTGCTGCTGCTGCTGCTGGCATGGGGCTGCCTCAAGGAATGTGGCGGTGCTGGGTCTGCAGCAGCAGCAGCAGCAGCGGGGGCAGCAGCGGCGGGTGCATCAGCAGTGATGATGCGCACGCTCCACTTGAGCTTGAACGGCGGGCGCGATGCGGGCACAGCAGGGAGAGGCGCGCATGCGGGAGGGAGAGGCGGGGCAGGAGAGGGCCAGGTGGCGGGAGGGAGGGTGGGAGGGTTGGGGAAAGAGGCGGTATGGTGGGCGTAGAGGGGTGGGCGGGAGGCAGGAGGGGCATGGAGGGCAGGGGGGAAGGAGGTACAGGGGAGGACGCATGGGGTTGCATGAGAGTTGACCTTGTCACGAGCTGGGGTGACGATGAGAGGATGGGGGGGGTGACGATGAGAGGATGGGGGGGATGATGAGGAGAGCATAGGAGGCGATGGTGGCGAGAGATGGGCGGCAGGGTTTGGATGTGCGTGGGACGGAGGAGACGGTTGACACCTTGTCAGTGACTGCGGCTGTGCTGCTGATGGCCCAGCAGTGGCGCCACTAGTGCTGCCACCACCACCACCACCACCACCACCACCACCACCACCACCACCACCACCACCACCACCACCACCACCACCACCACCACCACCACCACCACCACCACCACCACCACCACCACCACCACCACCACCACACCCAGCACCAACAGCAGCAGCAGCAGCAGCATTAACAGGTGGTGCTACAAGGCCCTGATTTAGGACGCTCACAACTGGCCGGTGTAGCTCTGGTTGCTGCTGCACCTGAAGCTCTGGTTGCTGCTGCACTTGAAGCTCGCTATCCACAACCGACCTTCCCATCTGCTCCCTCGCAACCCCTCGCTCCTCTGTGCCCTCTCGCTCTCTTCTAACCCCCTCCTTCTCCCTCTCCCCCTGTCCCTCCCCTGCGCCCTCTCTCCCCTTTGGTAGCGCCTCTGCTGCGGTGCAGCCTGCTTCTCCACTGGCGCCCACACCCTCCTCTTCTCTCTGCCCACCAGCCTCACCAACACCATGCGCCCCACCCTGCACCCCACCCTGCACCCCACCCTGCGCTCCACCCTGCCCGGCCTGGGTTTCCGTCCCACCCTGCCTGTCCGCCTGCTCTGCCTGCACTGCCTGCTGCTGCAGCTGCTGCCAGCGTCTCAGCCTCTCCTGTGCCTTGGCTGCTCCCCCTCGCACCCTCCTCCCCTTTGCCTGCACCACATTTCCCTCCGCCTCGCCATGCTTCCCATTCTCTCCTGCCCCTTCTCCTTGAGCTGCCATCTCAGCCACTCCTTGCCCCTGCTCCTCCCTCTCCAAAGCATCTCTGCTCTCCCCGTCCACCTCCTCCCTCTTCCCCCCTCGCAGCGCACATGACTTCTCCCCCTCGCTCTGTGCCTTGCTCGCCCCTCCTTGCGTCTCGCCCTGCTGCCCCTCCTCTGCTTGCCTCGTCGCCCCTTCCACCAACCGTGCATCCTGTGCCGCCGCCCCCTTCGCTGCCACACCTCCCTTCGCTGCCACACCTCCCTTCGCTGCCACACCTCCCTTCGCTGCCACACCTCCCTTCGCTGCCACACCTCCCTTCGCTGCCACACCCTCCTGCGCCTCCCTCCATCGCCCCCTTCACGGCCCTCAGAGGCCGTCGTCGCCTCGCCATGCGTCCGGCTCGCTGCATCCATGCCTGCATCCATGCCTGCAACCATGCCTGCATCCATGCCTGCAACCATGCCTGCATCCATGCCTGCGTCCTTCTCCCTCCCCCCCGCCATCTCCACCCTTTCCTCCTTCACGCACTGCTGCTGCTGCTGTGCCTGCTGCCGCCACTCCTGCTTCTCCGCCTCCGCTTCGCTCTGCTGCCCCACCCCTTGCTGCTGCTGCTGCCACCGCGCCCCTTGCTTCTCCTGCGCCTTCCCCTGCTGCTGCACGTGGCTCGGGCAGCGCTGCCAGCTGTGCTCGCACGCGGCCATGCCGTCCTTGCTCAACGTGCGCATCACGGGCGCTCGCCCATCCCCATGATCGTGGCCCACATGCGGCTGTGGCAAAGCATGCGTCATGTTAGCCATGCTAAATCCTCCCTGCTCCATGTCAGTCATGCTATACTCCCCCCCCTTCGCATCAGCCGCATTCCCTGCCCTCTGTTGCGTGTCAACACTACCACCGGGTACCGGCTGCTGTTCAGCCGTATCAGCAGCTGTCGGCTTCCAGACAACAGCTGCTGGTTTCATGTCAACAGATGCTGGTTTCATGTCAACAGATGCTGATTTCATGTCAACAGCTGCTGGTTTCATGTCAACAGATGCTGATTTCATGTCAACAGCTGTTGGCTTCATGTCAACAGCTGCCAGTTTCATGTCAACAGCTGTCGGTTTCATATCCGCGGCTGTAGGTTTCATGTCAACAGCTGCTGGTTTCATGTCAACAGCTGTTGGTTTCATGTTAGTCAACTCATTTGAAACCAGATTCGTCAAGTCTGGTTTCATGTCAGTCAAACCTAGCCCCATGCTAGTCAGCTCCAGTGTCATCTCAGTCGAATTCGGCGACAGGTCCATGCTGTAACTGGTGTCAGTTGTGTTATGAGCGGTGTCGGTGGTGTTATGAGCGGTATTAGTAGTGTTAAAAGCGGTGTCAGTGGCGTTGTTAGCAGTGTGAGAAACCTGCACTGAGTCTGGTCCATGAGAGGGTATTTCCTCTGCCTCTACACCTCCCGCCATCACGTTTCCACCACGAGCCCCATGCCACCCACCGTGCTCTATAGCCCATGGCCCTGCTGCCTGCGTGTACCCCATCCCTCTGCCTGCTGCTGCCACTGCTGCTCCATCTCCATAAATGCATGTATCGTATGGCTGCTGCTGCTGCTGTTGCTGCTGCTGCTGCTGCTGCACTGCTGCCTGCTGCACTGACCGCATGCCATACGCCATGCCATATGCGGCAAGCCCTTGTGCCCCTTGCATAAACCCGAATCCTCCCACTCTCTCCCCCCACCGCACTCCCCCATCCCACATCATTCCACCACTGTTCAGTGCTCGTAATGTTGCCTCGCCACCTCCCATGCCCGCACCTCCAATGCCTGCACCAGCCATGCCTGCACCAGCCATGCCCGCACCAGCCATGCCTGCACCAGCCATGCCTGCACCAGCCATGCCCGTACCAGCCATGTCAGCAGCATGCGGTGCGGCGCCTGCGTGCATGTGCTCATGTGCGGGGATCTCCCGCACCACCCACTTGAACAGCGGCCGTGGCGCCATGGGTGCCGCGGCAGTCTTCACTCCTTCCCACTCACGTACCGCAGCCAACCCACCTAAACCGCTCGCCCATGCTGCTGCTGTTGCTGTCCTGCTCTCTACAGCAGCGTCACCTGTACCACCTGCGCCACCTGCACCGGTGCCTGCTACCACACCCCCCTCAGCATGCTCCCCTACACCCCGTGCCCCTGCCCCCTCCGTGCCTGCCCTCCACTCCCCTGCCATGCCCTGCTCTCCCCGCCTCTCACTGGGCACCTCTGCTCCCACCCCACTGCACCCAGGCTCAACAGCAGCTGCAGTGGCGGCAAAAGGGAGGGTGATAGAGCCAGGCGAGGGATCCATGGCATGAGTGGCGTTTGATGATGCACCATGCCACGTGGCATGCGATCCATCACATGCTGCGCCTGATGCTGCATGTGCCGCCACTCCATGCCATGTGCTGCCCCCACTGCCTGCTGCACATGCTGTGAGCACGGCAGCAGGGGGGGAGCGTGGCGGGTGGTCTGCAGCACAGGGCACTGCTGCAGCTGCTGCTGACCCCTCCGTCCTCTGCCCAGCTTCCCCGCTCGCTGTGCCAGCCGCATCAGCAGCAGCAGCAGCAGAAGAAGAAGATACAGAGGCGCATGGTGCAAGCAGTTGAGCAGCTGGAAACCCACCACACCCTGGAACGTGCCTCCCCACTCCATCCCCACCCACCTTGCCTCCCCTTCCTTCTCCCCTTCCATCTCTGCTTCCTTCCCTCCCTTCTCCCTCCCTTCTCCCCTCCCTTCTCCCCTCCCTTCTCCCCTCCCTTCTCCCCTCCCTTCTCCCTTTCCTTCTCCCCTCCCTTCTCTCCTTCCTTCTCTGCTCCCACGCTCCTCCACGCGTGCCTCCTCTTTGGCCCTTGGAAGCAGCAGCATCAACGGGTGCAGGGCACGGAGCAGGGGCAGGAAAGGTCGGGCTGTGAGGCGGGGAGGCATGCTGAGAGGTGAGGTGAGAGGTGAGGTGAGAGGTGAGGTGAGAGGTGAGGTGAGAGGTGAGGTGAGAGGTGAGGTGAGAGGGGGAGGAGAGCTTGTGAGAGGGGGATGGGGGAGAGGGTGACGAAGCAGCAGCAGGTGTCGGGTCATGGGAGGGTTGTGAGGGAGGAAGGGCGGAGGGAGAGGAGGGAGGGCAGGCGAGGGGTTGAGTGGCATGTGGCACGGCGGAGGAGGCGGCACGGGAGGAGCAGGCGGGGCAGAGGGGGCAGCAGACGCCGGGACAGCAGGCAGTTGGCAAGGGGCGGAAGCCTTGGCAGCCGCAGTGGCAGCGGCAGCAGCGGCGGTGGCTTGGGAGACAGCGTGGGAGAGGGCGAGGCCGATCCGCCGCTGCATCATCTGCTGCACCGCCGCTGCTGCTGCCGCCGTGGTGGCGGCAGAGAAGTGCGAGGGGTGCGCAGAGGGGGGGAGGGAGGGCGATGCAGCGAGAGGTGGGCTTCAGCTGGCACTCCATGGGGATGGGCACATGGCGTGGATGGGGATGGGTTGGCAGCACTAGTGTCACTGGCAGCAGCACTGCTGCCATTGGTAGCTGCAGCACCATCGCCATCCCCATCACCACCAGAATCACCAGCCGCAGCAGCAGCAACAGTCACAGCAGCACCAGCACCAGCACCAGCACCAGCACCAGCAGCACCAGCACCAGCACCAGCACCAGCAGCAACAGCAGCAGCAGGTGCAGCAGGGGCCCTGTGTGCTGCTTCTCCTGCGTCTCCACCCCCCTGGGGTAGACCCCCAGGCCCTGCCATTGCTGCTGCCGCTGCCACGGCTGCCGCTGCTGCAGGCGACTGCTGCTGCAGCAGCAGCAGGGAGGCTGGGTCTTGAGCGAGGGCGAGGCGCAGAGGCAGGGGCAGGGAGTAGTGGAAGGGGAAGTGGCACGCCAGCGGCAGCAGGTGGCACAGATTGGGGGGGACGTTCAAGCCCATGCCCATGCCCATGCCCATACCCATGCCCATGCCCAGCCCCAGATTCCCCCCCATACCCAGGTTCATGCCTATCGGCAGCGACTGCAGGTGCGGCAATGAGTGCAAGTGTGGCAGCGACTGCAGGTGGCGCAGCGTGTGCGCCAGGAAGGGCATGCTGGCGGCAGCTGCAGCAGCAGCAGCAGCAGCAGCGGAGGAATCAGCCGCAGCAGAGGGGGGAGCAGTCAGAGGCGAAGGAGCGGGAGCCGAGGCAGAGGCAGAGGGGTCGACTGCGGTCGTGGCTGTGGCTGAAGAGGGGTCGGGGGGAGAAGAGGCAGACGAACCAGCAGCAGCAGCAGCAGCAGCAGCAGCAGCGACAGAATCTGCAAGGGAGGAAGTGTGTCGGTGGGGAGGCTGTGAAGCTGCTGCTGGGCTTCTGGCAACTGCTGCTGCTGCCGCCGCCGCTGCTGCAGCCACAGCGGCTGCTGCAGACGCGGCAGCATGTGCCACGGCTGCATTCCCCCCCTCCCCTGCTGCTGCACCTGCCACCTCTGCTGCACCTGCCATCCTGCCATGCATGCGCCTGCCCTTGCCAGCCCTGTGCCCCCTGCCCTCCCTGCCCTCCCACGCGCGCCCACGCCCCTCGCCGGCCCACAGCCGCGGTCGCCCGAGCGGGAGAGGTGTGCGGCGCGGCGGCGCGGGTGGAGGGGCGGCAGGCCCCAGAGGGCAGAGAGGGCGGCGCTGAGGCGCTGCACCTCCGCGTCCCGGTGGCGGCGCAGACGACCGATGAGCGCCGAGAAGCTGCAGGGGGGGCATTGGGGCATGGGGGGCATGGGGGGCATTGGGGCATTGGGACATGTGGGGCATGGGAAGAAGCAGCAGCATGGCACATGGGACACACAAGAGAATAGTGTTGAGTGGGTGTGGACGGGAAGGGAATTGCTGGTGGGGCAACTCCAGAATGGGCGCACATCACAGAAGCCTAATCCGTCCATGCAGCAAGGGAGAGCGACAAGGGATGAGGAGCGGCATGGGGAAGCAAAGGAACCACGGATGGGGCGATCGCGCATGGCATGGGGTCAATCGCACGTGGCATCGGCGCGGGCCCAACTCGCTCAGCATAAGAACAAGGTTGGCAGTGGGTGGGTAGGCATGCGCACCTCTCGTTGGCGGTGGGCGGGATGGCATGTGCGGCCTGCAGGGAGAGAGCGGCAGTGGCGTGCAGGTGGTGCGCCACGCGCAGCAGCTTCCTCAGGATGGCCACGCGCTCCCTCTCGTGCTGCAGCTTGCGCCCCAGAATCTGCAGCACGTTCAGCCCTGGGGGGGTTGGAGGGGATGGACGGGCAGGGAAGGAGAGGGTTCGGCAAGGGGTGAGAGATGAGCGCAGAGGAGACAGGCAGGAAGGGAGCGAGATGTGCAGCAGAAGGTGACTTTTGAGTCGACTCAGAAGTCACCTCGAGATGTGCAGCAGACGGCTGCATGAAAGAGAACGAGCTGAGGCCTGCGAGAGCTGGTGATGGGCGCATGAATGAGTTGCCCCACCGCTCGTGCCACTGCACCCACCGTTGGTGCCACTGCACCCACCGTTGGTGCCACTGCACCCACCGTTGGTGGCGATGATGTGTTTGAGCAGCGTCCTCGACGACGTGCGCAGCAGCGCCTCCAGCAGCAGCGACACCTCCTTTGCACTGCATGGGTTGCGCGGCACATGCCATGCCATGCCATGCCACAACATGACATGCCATACAATCCATCACAAGGACATCCAAGCCATGCATTAGCATGCAATGATGGTTGCAGTGCAGTGGAGAGGTGAGCACCATGCGACGAGAGGCATGGCATGTACACGACCTATCTCAAATGGCATAGGCATGTGCCTTAGGCTGAGTGAGAGAGCAAGCAGACAACAATACGCGGCCATGGCTTCCGTGGCAATGCAGCAACAACCCCCCCCCACCTGAAGTTGGGGACACCAGAGGAGAAGTCACCGCAGGAGGTGGCGCGCATCAGCAGCCGCACAAACGACCGCGCCGTGCTCTGGTGGTCGTGGGAGGGGGGGGGGGGGGGGGGGGTCAGGGGGACAAGGGAGGCGAGACGTGGGGGGATGAGATTGAGAGAGAAACGGGAGACAGCTTTGTATGGCGAAGCTGCTGTGCATGAATCATGTAAAGCATACCGGCTTGCTGCAGTGCGCGAGTCTGGTGCACAGCGTGAGACATGCAACATGCAAGGCTTGGCGCCTTGGACAAGAGACTGGGGGTGAGAGAGGAAGAGGAGAGTATGAGCGCGTCCGAGAGAGGGCGTACCTTGCCCTTGATGAGCGCGCGCGAGAGAGGGCGTACCTTGCCCTTGATGAGCGCGCGCAAGAGAGGGCGTACCTTGCCCTTGATGAGCGCGCGCGAGAGAGGGCGTACCTTGCCCTTGATGAGCGCGCGCGAGAGAGGGCGTACCTTGCCCTTGATGAGCGTGTGCGAGAGAGGGCGTACCTTGCCCTTAATGAGCGCGTCGTTGCCGTCCAGCAGCAGCTCCAACGCCTCCTCCACTGCCAGCACGCACACGGGGAAATGAGTGAGGCATGGATGCATGGCGCATGACAAACCACGAGCATTATGAGAAAGGGCATGTATGGGGCCATGTATGGGGCATGTATGGGGCATGTGTGGGGCATGTATGGGGCATGTATGGGGCATGTATGGGGCATGTATGGGCCATGTATGGGGCATGTATGGGGCATGTATGGGGCATGTATGGGGCATGTATGGGGCATGTATGGGACATGTATGGGGCATGTATGGGGCATGTATGGGGCATGTATGGGGCATGTATGGGGCATGTATGGGGCCATGTATGGGGCATGTATGGGGCATGTATGGGGGCATGTATGGGGCATGTGTGGGCATGTTGGGGCATGTATGGGGCATGTATGGGGCATCGTATGGGCATGTATGGGGCATGTATGGGGCCATGTATGGGGGCATGTATGGGGCATGTATGGGGCATGTATGGGGCATGTATGGGGCATGTATGGGGCATGTATGGGGCATGTATGGGGCATGTATGGGGCATGTATGGGGCATGTATGGGCATGTATGGGGCATGTATGGGGCATGTATGGGGGCATGTATGGGGGCATGTATGGGGCATGTATGGGGCATGTATGGGGCATGTATGGGGGCATGTATGGGGCATGTATGGGCATGTATGGGGCATGTATGGGGCATGTATGGGCCATGTATGGGGCATGTATGGGGCATGTATGGGGCATGTATGGGGCATGTATGGGGCATGTATGGGGCATGTATGGGGCATGTATGGGGCATGTATGGGGCATGTATGGGGCATGTATGGGGCATGTATGGGGCATGTATGGGGGCATGTATGGGGCATGTATGGGGCATGTATGGGGCATGTGTGGGGCATGTATGGGGCATGTATGGGGCATGTATGGGGCATGTATGGGGCATGTATGGGGCATGTATGGGGCATGTATGGGGCATGTATGGGGCATGTATGGGGCATGTATGGGGCATGTATGGGGCATGTGGGCATGTGTGGGGCATGTATGGGGCATGTATGGGGCATGTGGGGCATGTATGGGCATGTATGGATGTGGGGCATGTATGGGGCATGTATGGGGCATGTATGGGGCATGTATGGGGCATGTATGGGGCGTGTATGGGGCGTGGCATGACACAAGGTGACTATGGTGTGGTCGACACGTGCACACACACAGTCACAACCACTCGCACACAAGTCGCCCCTCTCACCATCGAGTGAAAGAGCACCCCCTGGCATGCCGCCGCCACATACTCTGCTGCCGCCGCCTGCACCTCACCCGCCCCGCCCCCGACCCTGCAGCATCCGCCATGGGGTCAAACCCATGCGCCCCGCTCTCCTCACCACCCCATGCATCCCTGCCCCCCTCTTCCCTGTCCCCGCCCCCCTCTCCCCCGTGCCTCCACCCCTCCTCTCCCCCACTGCACTCGCCAGTTTCCTCAGCCTCCGCCTCTTTGCCCCCCTCTGCCCCCCCTCCCCATCCTCCACACACGCCTCCCCTTCCCCTCCCCCTCCCCATAGCCCTCCTCCAGCCACTCCTCCCCCTCCCGCCCCTCCGCCTCCCCCTGCTGCATCCCCGTCCCTGTGCTGCCCCCCGCCCTACCGCCACCCCGTGCACACCCCCCCCCCTCTCCCCCTGCTCCTGCCACCGCCTCGAGAGAGCTTGGGCGGGCAGAGGCAGAGGAGGGGGGGCGCGCGTGGGAGGAGGTAGGGGGGCGCGGGAGGAGAGGAGCCAGCGGGAGGGCGCAGAGCGGTGGGACCTGGGGTGGGTGGCAGCGGGCCGTGACCGCGCCCTCTTGCCCTCCCACGCTAGACCCACTCCCCACGCCCTCCGCGAATCGCTCGCCTGCTCTCCTTCTGCTCCATGTGCCCCCTCCCCCCCCATATGTGTGGCATCCCGCCTGCTCCCACCCACTGCATCGTGACCGTACCCACACTGCTCCTCCGCTCCCTCCTCCTCACTCCCCTCCTCTGAGCCATACACCTCCTCCCACTCACTCTCACTCCCAGACCCGCTCTCACTCCCACCCTCACTCTCACTCTCATCCTCACTCTCACTCTCTGAGTCTTCATCCTCCTCCACCTCACACTCCCTCCCCAACCCACTCCCCCCTCGTTCGCCAGCCCCACGCCTGCCCGCCGCTCCCCCCGGTATCCCACGCTCTTCTCGCCACTGCCTGCTGCCCATCCCTCTCCTCCCCCACTCCCTCTCCCACTTCTTCCTCTTCCTCCTCTTCCTCTTCCTCCTCCGCCTCCTCCTCCTCCACGGCACGCCGCACGGCGGGGCGCACTCTTGGCTTCTTAAGCTCAGCGCCGCCCAGCACGCCGCGGCACGCCTGGCTGCCGCAGTAGCAGCGCGTGGGGCGCGCGCCCACAAAGCGCTCGTAGTTGTAGTCGAACGACAGCTCCTCGCCCTGGGGTGAGGGGCGGGGGACAGATTGAGGGGGGAGGGAGGGGAGGTGGGGATGAAGGAGAGTGAGAAGCAAAGGGCGCCACAGGATGAGGAAGTGGAAGGGACGAGGAGCGGCAGGGGAGAAAGCAATACACAAGTAACGCAGGGGAAGGGGTAAGGAGGAGGCGTCTCACCGCCTTGATGGGGCGCAGGGAGAAGAGCCTATCCGCAGCTCGCCCCGCACCATCCACTGCCGTGGCGCACAGCAGCAAGGGGGGCACCGAACGGGTGATACGGACAAGAGAAGGCGGTGGGGAGGGGAGAGGAGAGGAGAGGGCAAGCGTAATGAGGATGAGAATGGGGATGATAGGCGCACAGACGTGGACAACGGAGAGACGATTCTTTAGGCGCCTCAAATATAGGCACACAGATGTGGACAACGGAGAGATGCGATGGACAACAGGCACGTAGCCAGCCACTCACTCCCTCCCCCCACGCATTTTCATCTCAGCCCAGCAAGTCCCCTGCTCGCACCTTCTCTCGCCAGTCCCCTCCTCGCACGCACCTTCTCGAGGCAGCAGTTGGGCTCGCAGCTGTGGTTGAGGAAGCGCGAGAAGTTGCCCTTGCGGCACGCGTCGATCACCTGGGGGGCGGACGCAGGGAGGAAGAGGAACAGAGCACAAGGGCGAGTGGGTGGAAAGAGGGGTATGTGTGGGGCCAGCGGCGGATGTGCGTGTAGCGAAGGAGAGTGCAGGGGCAGGGAGTGGCGCATGAGCAGCCGGCAGCACCTCGCTGTTGTTGAGCGTCATGAAGTAGTAGTGGCGCTGCTTGGCGCGCCTGTACTCCTCCAGGCGCACGGCGAACGCCTTGCGGTTGAGCACCTCGCCCACGTACTCCACTATGAACTGCCCCGCCGCCACGCCCTGCCGCGCGCGCACGCCGTACCCCTTGCGCCCGTACGCGCTATCTCCACCTTCACGTACCGCCGCTGCTGGAACTGCAACGGGCAGCAGACGCGTTGGGGAATACGGGGCGAGGAAGGGGAGAGAGCGGCAGGGGGCATGCAGCGAACGAGGGGGTTTGGTGAGATAGCCTTTGAGCCGGCTCAAAAGCATGCCGTACCCCTTGTGCCCATACCACGCTGTCTCCACCTTTACGTAGCGTCGCTGCTGGAACTGCGGGCTCCAGTGGTAGGGCGGGGATGAGAGGCGGGGGAGATGGGAGAGCAGCAGGGGGCACGCAGCAAACGAGAGGGATTGTTGAGAGGGCAGGGGGCAGGGGGCAGGGGGCAGGGGGCAGGGGGCAGGGGGCAGGGGGCAGGGGGCAGGGGGCAGGGGGCAGGGGGCAGGGGCAAGGGGCAGGGGGCAGGGGCAAGGGGGAGGGGAGAGAGGGGGGGGGGAGGGCAGGAGAAAGGGGGGAATGTGGCAAACGAGAGGGGTTGGTGAGGGACTGGGCGGATGGTGGTGTGAGGCATGGCGTGGGTGGTGGTGTGAGCACCACACTGCACGGCACTGCACCGCATGAGACCGCTCACCTGCTGGTTGGCGCAGGCGGCGCCGCAGGGGCAGAGCTTGGGGTCGCACTCGATGCTGACGAGGCGGTTCAGACACGCGTCCCCGCACCCCGTCACGCGGCGCCCGGGGGGCGGCGGCACGCACTGACACACGAGGACCTGCGGGGGGGTGGGGGGGTGGGGGGGGGGGTGGGAAGTGAAAAGAGAGAGGCTGTGAACGGGAGAGAGCTTGCTGTCGTGCTGAACAAGAGAGCTCGTGCGGTTGATGAAAGGAAAGGCCATGGCTCTCGCGCCATGTGCTTGTGCCTCGTTTGTGACCTTCACTCTGTCTACTCGAACCTCTACTTCTCCCCCCTATGTGAGTCTGCTTCATCCTTTCCTCCCCGCTCTGCCTCATCGTTCCCCCCCCCCCCCCCCCACCTCGTCCGTGCGCTGCAGCTTGGGGCGGCGGTGCAGGTACTCGTTCTCCCACTATGCGGATCCACGCGCGCTTGCCCGTGCCTGCACCACCCGCCCACCCGCCCGCGCAAGACACACACACGCACGAAGCTTAGGCGATCATTCAAGGCTTACGGGCGGATGGGGGAAACGGAAAGGAGGAATGCAAGGCGAGGAAGACGGGGAGGCGCGGCAGTGTGGATGGCACGCGCGAGCACAGCGACTGGAAGACTCACCAACGAGGCGGGGGGGAGGCACGGTGGGCTTGCCCATTCCCCCCATCACCGCGCCCCAGCTTCCGCCGCCACTCACCCCTCCCCGCCCCCCCCCGCCTTCCCTCGCCCTGACATGCCTCCGCCAAGCCCTGCCGCCCCCGCTGCTCCCCCACTGCCACCACGGCACCGCCCTCCGCGCCCCCCTGCCCGCTGTCCGCGCCCCGCCACGGCGCGCACTGCGCGTGGTCGTCCCCCGCGTCCGCGTCGTCCGCGCTCGTCGTCGGAGTCGGAGAACTGGATCGCGACGCTCCCCGTCGCCGTCGCTGCACTCGCTGCTGCACGCGCTCCCGCTGCTCCACTCCGCCACCTCCCCCCCTCGCCCCCGCTTCTTCCCCGTGCCCCCTCCCCTCCCCCCACCCTGCACTTTCCCCGCGCCCACTTCCTCTCACTCCTGCTGTTATTCCCCCCGCGACGCTCTCCTCCCGCGTGTCCTGCTCCGCTTCGTCGTCGTCGTCGGCGTCGTCGTTGTCGTTCGCGTCGTCGCTCTCCTGCGGCACGCGACAGCTGGCGAAGGCGGGGTCAGGATTCATGCGACAGAACCCTGCGACAAGGCGGGAGCCGGCGGTGAATCGGGAGTAACGACGCGGGAGAGTGGGCAGGAGGGGGGGCAAGAGGGGGGCAGGGGGGGGGCAAGAGGGGCAAGAGGGGGGCAGAGGGGGGGGCAAGAGGGCGGCAAGAGGGGACGAGCAGGGGTAAGCGGCGAAACAATTGGGACGGTAGTGCAGGAAAGAGTCGCAGCGGGGTATTTTAGGGTTCGCCGACGATCCGTCACAGAATGCAGGATGACGTCACAGAATTGGAAGACAGAAAGAATGCTGGGGAATATAATTCGTCAAATGGATGAAATGCGGCAAGCCGCCTCTACAAGTATGACAGTGGCGTGCAGGCCGCGGGCAGGAAGGATGGGACGGAGTGCGTGGAGGGATGGAGCACGAAACCCTAACAGGGGCGATAACAGGAGAGGAGGACGGGAAGAGAGGACGCGGCGAGTGGGACGAGGCCCGGCGAGGTTCGACGAGAGGACGTTCCTCGGATGAGGTGGCTCGCGCAGCAAAGTCGGACGATCGATTAACCGAGCACTAACTACCCCAATTCGCGAAACTAACCATCTGGCGTCGCTGCTGCTCATGGCTCGCGCAATCTGCGCCGGCACGCGGCGCCACTTCTTGCACTTGGCGTCGTCGCATTGGACCCACGCCGTCCGCACCACCCGCGACACGCGCTTCTTCTTCTCCCGGCTGCTCGCCTCCCTCCCATCTCCCGCCCGCACTGCCTCGCCGCTCCTCCACCCGTTCACGCGGCGATCCTCCCTGCTGTCCCTTGCGTCGCCTAATCCCATTCCGCGCGACTCCCTCTGCGGCGTGCGACCTACTGCGACCACCCTACGACTCGACAATTCCCCGCCTCGACCACTCATGTTCCCTCCCCCGCTCGCGCCTGTCGCGCCTGCCATGCGTGGTTGCTGCGACGGCCTGACTGATAGATACGGTCGCGACCAGCGGAAGCTGCGGTGGGGGGAAATAAGAGCAGCACGCGGCTGTCTCTTTATTCGTTAGGTCAAGTTAGGAGCAAGAACGGACCCTGACATATCATAACCGAACCTCGGGCTGGTCTGATCACCCTCACCCGTTTCTCACACCACCCTCGAGTCACAACACAACAGACCAGACTCCACCTCACCCCCCGAACCTGCAATCAAGCAAAAACCCAAAAAAGACTCACTGGTCTGCTTTCTCACAACCAAGCCAACCTCGCCGCGCTGTACCTGACCTGACCAAACCGAGATCCCTGACCGCCTGTGCCCTGGGATTTCCGTGGTGCCCTCGGTCAAACGCGTTCCCGCCCGCCCGCGGTGCAAACCCAATGCCAGGGCAACTCCCAACCAAGCTGACGCACCCTTCTGCGGAAGATCTGGTGCGCGCAAAACTGAGCGGAGGAAGCGCACTGTTCATCTGGAGTCTCGGCGGAAAACGTTAGGCAAGGCGGGAGCTCCGCTTCGACTAGCCAGATCCAGGAGGAGCTAGCCCCGCCCCGCCAGCCTGTCGTCGAGTGCATTAACTTGGAACATTCCCCCTCCCGAGGGCGACAGCTAAACCGTAGGATCTGGCTGGACTCGTATCGGAGGGTAAGGAGAGAGTGGCGGAAGGCAACGGGAGAAAGTGCTGCCGCGGTGACATGGCAGTCGAGTCACACCAACCACCTCGCGCCACCTCCGTCCCCTTGACGGCCGCCTCTGCCTTCCACACAAACAGCAGGCGCTCCAGGCCTCAATATAAACAAATGTTCACAAAGCAAACCAGAATATAAGCCCTTACAGTTGATTATTGATTTACCACCTTTTTTGGGGGCCATGAACACCACTAATGCATGTTCCTCCCCTATCTCCTTGTGAACTCTCTAGTTTGAATACCCCTGTTTCAATTATTCTGCCTTGACATCTTTCAAGATGACAACAATCGAAAAAGAGGCCTATAAAGGACTCAAAGCTGGGGTCTCAAATATCCTATCATGAGAGCCCTGTTGGCATGTGCCCATTTGCATGGGAGCTTGGAGGAGCCAACAGCACTCTAACCAATGCAATTAACCTTCTAGCACCCACTGTTGCAAGCACTGATCTGACTCTGCACATGGAGATTCTGATCGCTGAAAGAAACACAAGTTGCTTTCAGAACTGCCGGAATAATGAATTGTCGACAAATGAGCCGCTCAGGCTGTGACTGGCTCTGCGCGCTTGCTTGAGGAGCTACCAGTGGTGGGCTGTGAGGGCGCTGAGAGCTCGTCCATCTTCGCCAGCATGTCCATCACCGCCTCCGCTGGCCAGAACCCCTCCGCCTGGTGGGGGGTGTGACATGCAGGGGGGGAGTGACGCCCAGGGAAAGGCGTGATCAAGGAAAGGCAATAAGAGAAGCGTGCAGCGGGCAGATAGCCGTGTTGAAGGGGCACAGCGAAAAGGGCAGGCATCAACCCCACAGCAATCAGCAGGATTGATCATTCCTGAGGGAATTACCTGGCGTTTGGAGTCGGTCCCTGAGAGAATGAAGCGGATGGCGAAGGCTGCTCCACTGGGCCTCCCTCCCATCTGCACACGTCGCACCACAGCCAAAGCCTCGTGAATTCGTATAAGATCTGTCACCCACATGCCACATGCTACAGCATCCAAGTTCCACGCACACACTTCATGCCTAGGCCACAGTGAATGGAGGGACGCCATGCGATGATGCCGTGATGGCATGATGCTGTGATGGCATGATGGCATGATGGCATGATGGCATGACGGCATGATGGCATGATGGCATGATGGCATGATGCCGTGATGGCATGACGGCATGATGGCATGATGGCATGATGGCATGATGGCATGACGGCATGATGGCATGATGGCATGATGGCATGATGGCATGATGGCATGATGGCATGATGGCATGATGGCATGACGGCGACGCCATGACAGCAGCGACTCTGCGCAGGGGTTTACAAAATATGCTCTCTTATGAGGCGTCTACCAGCTCAGGGGAGTGGGAGGAAGCGCATGGAAGCAGAGCAGAGCAAGGAGCGCGTTGTGAAAGAAGGGCCCATGGCGTACCTTGAGAAACCGCTGCAGCGTGGGCAGTGTTTGGCGCGCCACCACACACTCCATCCATAGATTGCCCCGCTCCACCTGGTGGCGGGAAGGAACCATGCCATGCACATACGGGATCAACGACATGCGGCGCCCGAGAGAGCAAGAGCCAAGGTTGCAGCAGGATCAGGCAGGCGATCAGGAAACATCGTGGCTCCTGCAAAAGACTAGACGATTCATTCACTTGCATCAATCTCTGTTGTACGGAATTGCTCATGATTTCCCTTGCCACCTCACCGATATGACAGAGACTGTCTCGCCATGTCATCTCACCTGCACCGCCTTGTCATCTCACCTGCATGACGATGTCGTCTCGGTTGAGCACGCCGTCCTGGTCCATCGTGATGAGCCCCTTCCGCAGCATCTGCACCAGCTTGCAGAAGTCGTTGAACTCCGACGCCGTCAGCGCCACGCTCCACCCGCCCGCGCCCACCTGCCAGTCATACCCACCCGCGCACGGGTTGCGCGGGGAGGAGAGGGGCGGGGGGAGTGCGCGGGCATGAGGGGGAAGGCGGTGAGCGGATCGCAGGAGGGATGGAGGGAGCATGCTGGGTAGAGGCGGTGAAGAATGGGACAAAACGCGAGAATCCCGGCGCGTGACGAGAGATCCGCCAGGTGTGAGAAGCAAGCCGTGGTGGCGCACGCCCCTCCACGAGGGCGCGCATGCCGCCATGCTCGTCCGCTCAACAACCCCGCTCACCATGGCGCAGAAGCCGCAAAGCGCGCCTATGGGCTCACCATGGCGCAGAAGGCCTCCTCGTTGGCGGGCGCGGTCTCGTAGCCCAGGCGCCACCCGACCCCTCCAGCACGCGGAACTCCGCCACCGGCACCGCGCTGTCGTAGAAACAGCCTGGCCGGGGGGGGCGGGGGGGATAGAGGCATCGGCGCGTGGCACATAGGGCGTTGAACGCACGGAATTGAACCGACTTGAGTGAGCTCATACGGGGTACGTTCCAGCCCGATAGGGGTTTGGCTAGATGCTGACGAGCCCTGCCGCCCCCCCCCCCGCTCCCTCCAGCACGCGGAACTCCGCGAGGGGCACCGCGCTGTCGTGGAAACACCCTGGCGGGGGGCGAGGGGAGAACGGCGACTTTGTAGGCCCCTCGAAGCCTGCGTGATAGAAGTCTAGTTTCGAGGCTACTAGAAACTGAACTCCGCCAGGGGCGCCACGCTATCGTAGAAACACCCTGGCGCGGGAAGAGGGGAGAACGGCGTCGCCGCGCCACGCCACGCCACGCACGCGAGCAGAAGGAAATCGCGAGCGATAAAAGGGGGAGGGCGAAGGGAGAGACAGCAGGGGAGATGAGAGAAAGAATGGAGCAGGGAGAAAAGACGAGAACCATACGGTGCCGTGATTGGCCTTGCCGACAAGAATCGTGCATAGGGTGTTCAACGGACGCAATTGAACTGACGATCATACGGGGTACGTTCGAGCTTAGAAGGGGTTTAGCTGGATGTCGACGAAATCATCGGCGGCCAAACGGCAGAGGGCAATCTAGATGGATTAATTTCGATCCTAGCTCCACCGTCTGTCTCCGCTGCGATGGCCCGTCCAAGATCGCGCAGTCTCCTTGACACGTGGCACTGTCACGTTACATCGCGCGCACCTGTGAGGTTACATTGCAGGTAGCCCTGCGAGTCGTCGTCGAGAGTCGGCACGTTCCGTCCGACGACGAGCACACAGCCGCTCTCGTCGCACTCCAGCTTGATCGCCATCTCCTCGTCGCCCGCCGCCTCCTCCTCCCCCGCATCCCCACCATCACGCGCTCCCCATACTCCCCTATCGGCCCACGCGCGGCTTTTTCCGCTTGCGCGCGCACGGATCGATCACGTCCGCCCACGTTGCACTTCAGAACTGGCCATTGCTGGGCAGCAGGCGCGCCAATTGGCCTGGTCGCGGACCACGGCGAGGCGACGGACGACGCCGCGTGTGGGAGAAGAAGCGACGGTGACGTGGCAGTCTGCATGGTATCTGACGACGCTGAACGTAACAGATGTCCCGCAGATCACGCAGAGTCAGGCGCTAGAGCTACTGGCAACTAATGACAGGAGGAGGGATGATCTAGCAGCTAGGCAATCGGTTAGTGAAAATGGTCAGCAGCAAAGCAATTTCTGTCTGGACTCTGGAGGTGGCATCTTCTTACCAAGGATAAGGGAGGAATAAGAGGAGCAGCAAGAAGGGTTTGGGTGCGGTGGGATTGGGTTGGGAGGGTGTGTGATGTGGATAAGGGGAAGGAGGTGCCCCGCTGCTCCAACCAGCGGGGAACGGAGGCAAGTGGCTCAGCAGGCACTGGGCTGGGAAGCAGCCTGCCGCGGAAATGGAATCCGTAGTTATGCCGAACCACTCACGAAGCTGGGCTCACTGT